CTCCCCTCCACTCTTCCCATGCACTGGGAAGATACCTCCAGCCTGATGTTCCTTGCAAAGTCCTCCCGGTCCTGAGAGTGTGCTGGACAGGGAGCTGGGGACTGGATTCTCATCCTTGGCCAGGTACTATCAGTGGGTAATACACCTTATCCTTGGCATAATTCCCTTACTTTATTAAAAGTAGAAACAACAATAACAGCAAAAACCCCTCTGGCAAAGAGGCATTGCTCAAAAGAGCTATTAGCGTGATGGTAGACTTCTGGGCAGGGGCCCCTTGCTGCTGCCTCTCGGGAGCCCACCCGAACAACCACTCCCTCCAACACCTGCAGCGCAAAGGAGGCAGGTGCCTTTGCTGAGAGCCATGTGCATGCTTGCTTGCTCTCCTTTCCTGTGTCATTTCCAAAGATAATGGTTTCCAACCATTTTGCTGTGATTTGCCGGAAGCATCAGCCACATTTCTGAATTACTCTTTGGATGCTTTCTAATGGGGGTTGCACAAATATTCTCTGATATATGTTGCCCCACCCCAGTAAAAGATCTCACCTACATGTTCAAGCTTAAGCCCAGAGTGAGGAGGGACGTGTGCCCCAGGTTAAGATCAGCACTGGCAGGCAGGTGGCCTCTGAGTGGCTGTGTGGGGCAAGTGGTGAGGATTGTGGCATTAATTTGGTATCAAGGTTTTATTGCTTCATCATTATCATGAAAAGTGGCTGGCTAGTTAAAAAGGTAGCTATCAAGCCATCCAAGGTGCTAAGCTGATCACGAAGCCTGTAAGGACAGGGGTGTGGTAGACCCCACAGCTGACACTGAGTAAGAACGTTCACATCCTCACAGCTCTCCCCCCAGATGTAGGTAGTGCCAGTTGCATTCCACAGAAATACTCAGGGCAATGGAGGGCCTTGCCCAAAGATCACCTTCAAGTCAGGCCAGAGCTGGGAATCCTGCCCAGATGGTCAGCACCAAAGCCTGGACTCTGTCCTCAGCTCCTTCCCCTTTGGAGGCGATGGCAGTCGATGGTCTCTTCCTCCCTCCCCTCAGTGGCTCTGCGTTTCTCCTCTACCTTTCTGCTTGGGTGTCCCCTTACCACCAGGTCAGTTCCCGTGAGCTTGGTGTGCTTTCCAGCAGGCAGCCTGTTTGTGGCTGACTCTCCGTATACATCTCTCAAGCTGCCTGCCATCACCACAGAGCTCTGATATCCACCAAAGTGACAAGCCGCAGAACATGATGGCTTCAGCCCTCATTAAAAGTGATGCCAGTTCTGTGGTTGGATTTGGAGCCAGGTTACAACTAGGGCACCCAGGCCAATGGGTCTCTCCTTGGATAATGCCGGCTCTTGAAGCCATTTGACATAATACAGCAGCGTCTCCAGGCAGGTAGTGGAGTCTCCTCTTTAGGAAAACCCCTTGCAGTTTTCCAGGTTAACAGTCACATGCTGCCATGACTTCCTGGTCTGGAGGAGCAAGGAGAAGGGGTGGGTGTAGGGCTGTGCCTAGGACCGTGTGGATAGAGGGATGCAGGTGCTGGGCAGTGCTCTGCTGTGGTTTGGGTTATCATCCTTGGCTCTTGGAGTCAGATGGATCTGAGTTGGAATCCTGGCAATAGCATAAGCTGGGTGGCCCTAGTTGAGTTACTCAGTTTCTTAGTACCTCAGTTTTGTCACTGTAGGTAGGGGATACTTACCAGCATGGCCATCCCAGACCTTCTGGGGGCAGGGGTGGTTGTACTTTGGAAAGTTGTTAGTTGTTCACCTGGGCAGCAGGCTCGTGGAGGGCAGGCTCTGCAGTTTTGGGTCTGTGTCCTGTGCAGCTCTGCAAACAGCTTGAGCAAGAAATGATCTCCTTTTAGGTACTCTGCCTAAGCAAAGGAGAGCCAAATAAAGCCACAAACAAACAGAGAGGACTGAGTCTGAAAGACAGACTTGGTGTAAGGCTTGCTAGCTCTGTGACATTGGGCAGATGGCCTATGCATACAGAGCTTCATCCTGTCATCTACAACGCAAAGCAAATCACGGCCTTTCCTGGGCTGGCTGTAAATTAAATAAGATGAATACATACGAAACACCTAGCATAGGGCTTGGCACATAATAAGTGTTCCTTACATTTTATTTTTTTACCTTTTTCAATTTTATGGGCACAGTTGGCTGCAATTTTGTTATAGTTGGAGGTGGGTAATATAGTATGATGTCTACTCAACCAGAAAGGTACCCCCAGATAATCAGACAAATGAAATTCCAGTGGCTGCAGTGGCAAGGATGTGTTCTGGCCCTAAGGTTGCTGCCTGCTGGGCTTTTCTCTCCCTTCTGGGTCCAGCAGGAAGAGAGTCTGGGACTGGGGACTGTTTCCAAACCCAATTGAAAAGTCAAAGTGGTCAGTTCCTTTTGGTTATCAGGCAATGAACTTAAATGGGCATTTTTAGCGACACTTAGGAAATGTTCTGACTTTTTATTTGAAGAGAGCTCTAGTTTGCTTCAATCTACCTTTGAGATGGGGGAATAAGAAGAGCTTTTGCTGGGTGGAAAACAAGAAGCTCTCTTGCTATATGTGTAGATCACTCACAGAGGTAGAGAGAGACATGGTTAATAAGCATCTGAAAAACGTTCAATCTCAAGGATAATTTGGACCTGCAAATTAAAACATCAATGTGGTGGCATTTTGCCTATTACTAGCAAAGATTAAAAATTGATCTTCGCCAATATTGGCAAGGGCGCAGAGAGAGGAACGTGCCTCTGCGGGAACCTGAGCGGGAACCTGGTACTCTGCATCTGAGCCTTTCGTTCCATACCCTCAAGTCAGTGATTCCACATCTAGAAATAGACCCAAGGAGTCAGTCATGAGCACAGACAGAGCATTCAGCACGAAGATGTTGTCAGGACTTTTTTTATAGTAGTAATTTTTTTTTTTAATGGGAAAGATCTGAGAGTCCAAAAAATAAGGGAATTGTTTTGTAGATTATGATACATCCATATGGTAGATTATGTTGAAATTAATTTTTAATGATGTAAAAAGTGTTCACAGTGTATTAGAATAAAACATGACTTCAAATTATGTGTGTATATAAAAAATGATGCATAATGATTTATACATATGTAATGATTTAAACTATGTTCAAATACACATGCTTAGGGAAAAGATTATATAATTAAGAAATTAACATTAGAATGTGTGATTTGAGTGCTTTTATTTTCTTTCATGCTTTTTTCTATTTTCCAACTTTTTACAATAAGCTGTCTACTTAAATAATCAGAGAACAGCAAATGTGATTTTTAATAAAGGATTTCTGCCACAAAATCACCATCCTCTGTGTTCATCCAGGAGCGACTCTCGCTCCTGCGTAGCTCAGCTGGACACATAATGCCTTGGGCCAAGAGCTGTCGATTTACTGGCACTATCGTGCTTCTTTCGCAAGCTGTCGTGACTACCAAGATCTCTTCTTTGGGTTTAATCGTGTATTTTCACCCGTTTAACAGTTCCCCTATTTCTTGTTTGTTAAAGAGAATAGCCACAAAGGCCAGTCAGAACCTGGCTTTGCTAATAATTCTGGCCATAGCACAGCCTCTGCGATAAAACAAGACACCTACTTCCATCCATTGGCTGACGAATTCTCAGTCTTCTTTCAGCTGGAGCCAGAATTTAGGGGGCCTAACATGAAAACCCCCCCTTCCTTCCCCTCTCCCTTCATTTCATCTGTGTAATGCACCTTTACTGAGTACTTACTGTTTGCCTGATTTTGTGCTAAGAGGTGGGATTTCAAACATCAATAAGACACAACCCCTGCCTATGCAAGTGTCATGTTCTGAGTGGAGACAGGCTACAAAGTTCATCAGAGCTTTCAGACACGTGGGCTGCGTGCCGTCTACAGACCAGGCGCTGTGCTTGGACCTGGAGACACAGCCGGACATGGGTGTAGTGCACGGCCTGGCGAGCAGCGAGGACACAGAGGTGCACATTGGCTTGCGGTATCAGGGAAGGCTTTTAATTCACTCATTCATTTATTCACCTCATTATTTATTGAATCACTGCAGCATGCCAGGCATTCTTGTAGGCCGGGGGAAAACTGGTAAACAAGACCAGGAGGATCTCTGCCCTCAGGGAGTTAAATTCCAGTAGAATTGGTAGACAATTAACAAATCCAAAGATAAATCTTTAAGCTCATGATAAATGCTCTGACAGAAGAAAGTTGGATGCTGCAATAGAGAATGAGGCGAAGGGTGAGAGAGAATGCTGCTATAGCTCAGGAGCCTGGGGAGGCCTTTCTTAAGCTGCCACCTCAAGAGTAGAAAGGATCTAGCCGTGCTAAGGGCCTGGAGAAGAACATTCCAGGCATAGGGGGCAGAAAGTGCAAAGGATGAGGCAGGGAGAGTCTGGTATATTCCAGAAACTGTCAGAAGGTCAAAAGGGCCAGATAAGCAATGCAGCAGGTGGGGAGTCTTCGTGGAGGACGTGATCTTGAGCAGAGGCCTGCAGGGAGGATGGGCAGCAGCTCCGGAGACAAGTGAGGCCCGACACACAGGAAGCTGGGTGTGGCCTCCCGGGGGCTGGCAGCTGGTGGTGGTAAGTGAGTCCCCCTGGCTGGAGAGGGATGTGCGTGTGGGGAGGTGGCAGGCAGAGCTCAGAGCAGGAGCAGGGAGGTTCAGTGGGCTTTTGAGGTCTCCGGGGTGATCGTTCCTTAGGAGTTGAAATGCCGATCCGGCCCACTGTCCGCCTTCCCCTGTTACAGAATTGAAATTTTCATCTGAGGTAACACCTGTCTTCTCAGAGGCTTGAATTTCTGACTGTGTCTTCAGTTCCAAACTGTGTGTTGAACCAGCTCTGAAGTCAGGGCCACCTTGGGAGTCTATTATTTCATTTTCTCGGAATGAATCTGTTATGCGTTACTAACGATAATGATTCATTATGCTGTCTCATGCTGTTGGGGAATTGCATGTGCTGATTCCCCAACAGCAGGCAGAAGAAATTGCCCTACTGATCAATTCTCTGCTGTGTTTTTTTCCCTTCTCTTAGAATGGCAATTCAAGTGGACAAGTTCAACGTTGAGAGTTTCCCAGAATCCCCTGGGGAGAAGGGGCAATTTGCAAATTCAAAGCAGCTGGAAGAAGAGAGGCAAGAGGTGCGAGGCATGGAGATCAGCAGCAAACTGGACATCCACTGGGGGATCATATCCTTTCCATGGCACCCACCTTGGACCTTGGTGGACCCCTGCCCAGGGCTTCTGGCCACTGAGAAGGACCCAAGAGGTGTTTAGCTATTGAATTTTAACCACAGATAGCTCAGAAATTCCATGGCAAGGAGATATGGACCAAAGGGTTGGCCTTTTCTTAACCTCTTAACGCTTCAAAGGCCCCACTTAATGAGGTATTGATTGCGTGTAAGAAAAGGTCTTTATGGAGCTGGCGGTGCTCTTGTCTCTGGGTCACATATTTCTTGCCAATGTTGATATTCATGTTAGTGACAGGTTCTAATGGCCACCTATCAGGGCCGGGCTTGAGGAGTTCACAGACTGACAGCTGAAAACACGGGTGCAATTGTCTGAGAAAGTAGAATCGGATTGTACAGCTTACCGAGGCATGAAGATGCCATTTTGAAAATACTGAGAGAGTTTTAGGACAGTGCTATGAGACAGTGTTTCATAAAATAACTGAGCCTGCTCTGAACCTCACATCTGCCTGACTTACAGACGGCGCTCAACTGACAGAGTGAACACTCTGGAGAAACCCAGGTTCACTCATTTGTGTGTTCAGCAGTCTTTGCAGAGCACCTACTTTTGAGTCAAGTACTTTGTGAGGCACGTAAGAGGCTGAGACGCAAGGACAAGGTCTCAGTGCGGTTGCCTAGTCTAGTGGGAAGTGGGCGTGTCTTCTGAGAATTAGGTGCACTGCAGGGGAGCAAGGACAGCTCCCTGGGCCAGTGCAGCAGGTTCAGATTAAGAAGTTGCTGGGTGGGGGCAATCAAGGAAGGCTCCACAGAGGGGCTGGCATTTGCATGGCTGTTAGGGTTGATAGGAGTTTATCAAAGGCATGAGAGTCGGAAAGGCCCCCAAGGTGCTGAGGCATGAGAGCAGGGCTCACCCAGAGACCGTCTCCATGAAGAGGCCACACTGGTGTGTGTGTCTGTTAATTATCTTCGCCATGTGTGGATTCCATGGCTATGGGGATGGTCAAATTGCATGGTATGGTTTCAGATTGTTCCAGATGGCCATCTGGATTCTGAAAACATCCTCTGTCTACACATGGCATAGGTTTCTGGACCTGAGGCAAGTTCCTTCGTTCAAGCCAAAGTGAATTTGGGCTGGTAGACCCACTGTCTCCAAGAAGTTTGTGACAAAATAAGAACTGTACATGTAGATAGAAGGTGTTTTTTTTTTTTTTTTTTATAAACAGACTCTAAAAATAGAATGCTTGGGACTGGCAGAGGGCACAGCAGCAGCCTGTTGAGGAGTTACAGGTGTTGACTTTGGTGGAGAGAGAAGTAAAGAGGTGGGGATGATGGGAGGTGTCCTCTCACGGTCCCAGGGACCCCTCTACAGCCAGGGTCAGTCAGTCCTTGCTGATGGAATGAGCAGAGTGATGCTGCCTCACACATGTCACATGATGCTTCCATGTTTCTCAGATCGGCACTGTCTTTCCCGTAGAGGAAACGGAATCTCAGTGAGGGCCAGCCAGTAAGGGTTGGAGCCAGGGACCGACCAGACAGGTTTGCCAGCAAAGCACTCACCTAAGTCCCAGGCTACTCAAATAGCACACAGACCTTCAGGCTGGGGAAGCACAGGGCCCTTAGCTCTCACCCTGGTATTTGTGCTGTGATGCTGGAGCTGGGGCATAGCTTGGGTCTTTCTGATAGGCTGAGGGTTGGAGAGGCTCATAACCTCCTGCTGTGGCAGCCTTCAGGTGAAGCAGGAGATGCCCCTCTCCAGGGGTCTTGGAACTTTAGATTTATAGGGGAGCCCCTTGCAGAGCAAGGCAGGCCTGGATGGATCTGATTCAGCCTCAGCTCAACCTCAGTAGCACCCAGTGGGTGCTTGGGGTACCTAGTAGGAAGGCATTCATTCTTGTTGAACGATTTCACTCTGGGCTCAAATAAAAGCAGGAAGGCCAGGATGGTTGGGATTGCGATCCCTGCATCCCCGTGCTCCACAGGGATTGGGCCTATCCCTCCCCAGGCTTCATTAGTGCTGGATGCACTGGTGCATCCTGCTAGCAACCACTTCCCAGGTGCTATCCTAGGATGTCACCCCCTCTCACCAACGCAGCTCCAGGGCAGTTTCATTGTCCTGTCTTGCAGATGAAAATTGTGACTTGAGTTCACAGGTAGAAAGTAGAGTAGCTGTCACCTAAACCCTGTGAGCTTGCCTCCAAGCCTGTGCGCCTTTCCCTGCGTATGCTGCTTTCTAATAGGGTTGAAGTGACTAACAGAAGTCCTATGTCCTTTGAAAACTAACGGTACAGAAAATGTCTTTGTATTTGACTTTCCTGTTTTCTGTATTTGCTTAATAATTCCTGCAACAAATATTTATTGGATGCTTAACATGTGCCAGGCACATCAGTCCCACAAATTTACTGATTAGAAGTTTATGAGAAATTTTTCCTATAGGCAAATTTAGTTAAAGAGAATTATCATTAAGGGCATCCTTTGTCTGTCTGTCTATCTATTTCTCTCTCTCTTTCACACACACCTTCTCTCTATCTCTCTCTCTCATCTGGTAATGACATCTGGCACGGGTTGAATAGCAGACTTTTGCAATTGTAAACCTGAATTCAAGCAGATGGAAGGACCAAAGATTGAATTGGCTAATAATTTCATTATGCATTTTAATAATATTTTCTAAATATTTAGACTTTGTACAAAAATTTGAGCTTAATTTGACACCCATTCATAGTTATAGCTGTTGCCCATATGTAGCTCATAACGCTGAGAAGATGTGTTGTAAAGGAAATTGGGCTCTTGCGATAGATATATATGCACATGTGTGCGTAGTATCCGCACTAACAAGATAAGCCGCTGGGCCACCGTGAGCTCTGGCCCCACTCTCCGTGAATGATGTGTATCATGCAGATTTGGTTATTCTTACGTGTTGGGCTCGGGAGAGCTGGGCACTTGCAGTGCAGCATGGAAGGGCTGAGACAGGAGCTCCCATAAGGTAAGGGCTGGCAGGGGTGGGCAGTGTTCTGAGCATGTTCCAGAGCCTAGAAGGCACCAGATTCTGTGCGTCTGGTGACAGTGTGAGACAGGAGAGGGCAGCGGGGTCTGCAGGAGCCTCTTTTGCTGTGCTGGATTGTTGAATCTTTCTCCTCAGGGTAGTGGGGACTCAGAAGGCAGTGTTGGCATGGCCACATGGGTGTCTTAGAAAGCCACTCTGGCCACAGCGTGACAAGTGGATTACAAAGAAGCCAGAGTTCCTGGGGAAGTTGGTCAGGTGAGGAGACACTGTGTGAGCAGTTCTAGGCCAGGGACCACGAGGGACTGAACAGGGGGAAGGAAGTGAAAGATGGCCACGTGTCCCTGTAATTCAGTGCAGGGGACACTCATCACCGAGTGCCTGCAGAGTTCGGGTTTGGGGGTATGCCCCTGAGCTTCTGTGCCCCCGAGCTTCTGTGCCCCATTCCCCCACTCCCTTTCTTCCGGTGAAGACAAAGGGCTAAACTCAGTGGCCCCCATTCCTGTGCCAGCTGGTCTGAGTGGGCGCTTCTAGGGCCCTCCTGAGAGTGTGGCCTCCCGGCAGGCCTCGGAAGCTACTGTAGTCTCTGAGGATCCCCCAGCTGAGGCCCCTCCCTGGGTCAGGCCTCTCTCCCCTGAGCCTCATGCCTGCTCTGTGATGGAGGCAGCAGGGTTCCTCACACGGGGCATGGGACCGGAGAGCTTACAGTGAAGACGCTTAGGATCACATCGCTAGGAGTAGGCCAAGTGCACCCCAAGCCTCCTGGCAGCAGATGTGGTGGTCCCAGGGTTACGCATCCACAGGCTGCCTGGAGAGGCCAAGAGGGCCCATCCCTACAAGGGACAGGGTGACTTCACGTGGAGCAGGTGGCCCAGGGCAGTTAGCCACCCAAGTGGTGGTGAGCCCTGGGGACCTTAATGGTGTTTTCAACCCCAGAATTCACAATTCTGGGGTAGAATTTACACTCTTTGGCACTGGGCCTAACCAACTGAGCTAATGTATTAGATACTACTTTTTTTTTAAAGAAACCTCTGTTTTTAAACCCTGTTTATCATTTTTATTATCATTATGACTTCTTGTATGGCTACTATGTGTTAGCTACTTAGCCTGTTGTCCTCACTAGACCCCAAAAGTCTGCGGTCACATTTCCTGTGAGAGGCTGGGCAGCACACCCAGCCAGCAGGAGACCAGACTGGGCAGTCGGACATGGGCAGGTTCCTGCCATTCCCCCAACAGTCCCCTCCCTGTGCGACTTTGCTTCTCTGTTGTTATCATGAAGTAGGGACAGCGATGGCGGCCACCTCTCAGGGTGCTGGTGAGACGCATGTGCACAGCCTATGCTGTGTGTGCAGCCGCAGGCTTGCCCTACTCCTGTGGTGCCCACGGGGCCTGCGTCCTCTCTGTACCATCTCACTGCTGAGTGCATGTTTCCTGGAGGCCTTTACTGTCACTGTGCTTCATCCTTATTCTGCCCCAGGATCAGAGTCTTCACAAAGGACTCCTTGTGCTCCGTCTATTAAGCTCTTTCTCCTACATTGCGAAGTCCTGATCACCCACATTAGCCCGGTGATTTTTAAAGGGAATTTTTCACCCAGAACTCACTTTCTTGATGAGAACATGCTTGTTGGTAATGTCTGTACAGTTTCCTTGGGGGCGGAGGTGTCTCTACCTGGCACAGTCAGCATCTGGCCCCAGAGAGCTGGGCTTATTTGATATACATGGATGCTTTTTGGACAAAACATACCCTTACTTTCAGCTCCTCAGTATCCTCTCTTTTTAACCTTCTTCTTACCCTCTAGCTACCAATATTGGACAATTTTTACTGAACTTGGAAAACCTTAATATAGCCAACTCTTTGTGAACTCTGTTAATAGCAGATAATAGCCTTCAGCACATGATCCAGAAATCTTCTATATTTGACTTTGGTTTAGGACTAAAGATGCTGCATTTTGGGGGTCCAGAGTCCTGGGGTCAGAAGGCTGGCCCTGCTGCTTCCAGCAGCC